TACGTCGAGCAGCGTGGCCAACCTGTCGCTGCACGAGAAGCCGTCGGTGGAGAAGCCGCTGGTGATCAGTTCCAGTGTGGATCCGCAGAGAACCACCATCTTTCGCTGAGCAACGCAACATCAGTCGCCTTGGGCCGAGCATCGAATAGTCTATACTGGAAGGTGTCTAGAGCAGGAAAAGTAAATCTTTCAACGAAGAATTAATTGGGGCAAACTGTTGTCTAAGCATTATCTTCTTTGAGTCTATGAGTCTAATATTCATGTTGATCCTCCTTAAGTCAATTCATTTGCATCTTTCCTGTCAACAGAATTGCCTCAATATTACCTTATCATTGAATGCAAACCCCACCCTGATCTGGAGGATATCTTCCAGATTTTACAGCAGCAGCCATATACGGATAGTACTTTATGAAAGACACTACTATAAGAGGAAATCCCAATCCATCAAACTACCACGAGCCATCCTCTCCCCACTCTCTGTCTTTATTTGTCATGTGACCAACCTGATTAGTTGTATAAGAATGCTATGCAGCGCTATACCTAGTATTTATGCCTATGAAATTATAGCGGTTCTCGGAACACCTGCTAAGAGAGATCAAATTTTATACTTCTCCACTAGCCTAAGTCCAAGATAAACCACCAGCATATATATTATATAGATGTGCCTTGTTGAAATTGAGATTTGTATTTTTGTTATTTGTGCTGCTCTCTTTGCATATACGTACCATTCTCCATATCTGCATCTGCATTATCTTTACTGGTGTAATAAAAAATACATATTTTAAAATTGTATTTCAAGCTTAATAAAGCCAAAGATAAAATGAAAGCAATGGTTCGTTTTCCTCAGTCGATCGAAAAATCTCACTCAAAGGTAGGAATTTATTAACTTAAAAAAAGAGGTCACAATTTAGCAAAGACACAGACGTTGTGCTAAACTTGATCGTATAGTGTGTTAGCTAATACACATACCATTCTCTAGACAAATCGACCTGTACGATTTTGAGTATAGTAATCTTTTTATGGATCACTAGAATGTTAAATTATATCGAAGTTTCAGATTGGTGTTTCCCATACTAGTTTTCATCAAAAAAGATCGTAAAATATCAAGCAAAGAAACAAACCTCTCGTTAGGCGAAAATTGTTTTAGTATTGACATACACCGTGTTGAGTTTTCGAATTTGTAAAAAACGAAGCCTAGGTAAAGCCCTTTAGATCAACAAGTTGGAGTCGAAAATTTCGTTTTCATTAAAAACTTTTACGGTTTAGAAAACATTAAACAGTCTTAAAATTATAATACTACATATATTTTCCAACGCCTTTTCCTGTAAATGGCTAAAATAGCTAACACCACAGCACTGGGGCCTATCAAAAAATAAATTTTGAATGTGCCAGTCGCGCTGGTTGAGATTCCATAGCCGATTTCAGTGGAGGGGGACGGAAGGGGACGGACTGGTCCCCATCGCTGCTTTGCCGGTTGCTTGTGGTCGCGTCTGGTTTTGGGGCTGGCTAATCAGTTAGTCTGTTTTTTATTCTTGGCCAGCATGGAGCTGCGTTGCGGTTGCCGGTTTGTCGTTTAAAGAGAGAAAAACAAACTGGGAGAGTCTCTCCATCAGGCTTTTATGTTTATGGTTGTTCTTTTTGGTGTTGTCGTTGTCGCAATCGCAGCCGTTTTTAGACCCGCGCCAGCGTCGTTGTCACTTTTTTGTTTCGAATGTTGTTGGCTGTGGATTTGTGACTCGGCAAGTGTGCGTGCATTGCCCAAAGCGAACGGCGATCGCTTCACATATTTGTTTACTTAATTATCGAGCTGCTCAGCCTGTGACGTCAGGTCGACGAACGATCAAACCGAACTTCCACCAAGTGTGTTTCAGTTAGCCATGGCATCGCTTTGGATCATCCCAATGGGCCTTTGGCTCTTTGTGGGCGTACGATCACTGGAGATCGCCAGTGCGGACCATCCCTGTGCCTATGCAGACACGGTTAACATTACTGATGGTCTCCGGATGAAGGATGGCTCCTACTCGTATGCCGGCGTGGTGGTCCCACCACATTTGATGGCGGAGTATTCCTTCAAGGTTATCGACGGCGTCGAGTACCGGGCCAAGAAACACCTGCGCGGATGCGTCTGCCTGCTAAAATCCTGCATCAGCTTCTGTTGTCCAGCGAGTCTCGTGTTCGACTCCAAGCACTGGAACTGTTCAAAGCCACACCAGATACGGGAGTCCACTCATGTGGAGCTGACCTACGGCAATCGGTCGGTGGATCAAGTGCGCATTGTCGATCGGTTTGTGGTGCGCACAGAACTCGGGTGCCGGAACAAGTTCGTTGACAAGAAGCACGAGAGCTTCTGGCAGTGGGATCTTTTCGAGAATGGATCGCTGGCGAGGGACAACCGCCTGTGGACCACTGATGAGTATTGTTTTAGCCCCCTGGAACACAAGCCCGATCAGTGGGAACTCACTCCACTCAGCTGCGAACGCTTCCAAACGGGCTACCGAGTATGGATCTACGCCATATGTACGTGCAGTCAATGGTTCTACACTTTTTGAGGAATAAGAATAATGTTTTTTTTCAGGCAGTATTATAGCCATCATTATAAATATATTTATCCTCTCCCTCCTTGGTTCTGTGAGAGATGCCCGGAAAAGTCACTATGGCCAACTGATCATCTATTATCTGCTCTCCATGATTGTGGGCTACTCCTTGTTGGTCTACTTGGCCTTGAAGAATCCCATGAAGCTCTCGCATGCAGCTTGCAGGAATATAGGTGCGTTATGATAAATCTTTAACCTCCAGCACTTAACTTACTGTTTTTGTTCCCAAGGTTTTCTGGCCTACTTCTGCATCATGCTGTCCTTCGTCTTCCTGGCCATTTGCAGTTTTGACTTTCTGCTCAAATTTAAACGAAAGGCTATTAGGAACTGGGTTCGTCGGTTGTCGTATGCTTTGGCAGTCCTGGCAGTGGTTGGTCTTCGGTTTTTAGTGTCCTTTGCCCAGGACTCCAAGTTGCCCAAACACTACAAGCCAGGCATGGGAGAAGACTATTGCTGGTTCGACAGTAAGCTATAAAATAATATAAATCACTCATTACTAATACAAACATATTTAACTATGCGATTTTAGTTCGAACCTGGGGTATTTTGATCTACTACTACGGACCCATTGCAATTCTACTGGTTTTCAGCATTGTGTGCTGCTTAAAGGCCTACTTTTCCATCTACGAACTGCCACCGGATACACAGTACATATTGGGCACTCAACTGAAGATTGTCAAGACTCAGTAAGCACCTCGGATGGAAGTTCAAACCTTACCACAAATTAATCCTGTATTTCCATCCAGTTTTTACGCCTTCAGTGCCTACATAGTGGGCGTGTTTGCTGTCTGGATTCGTGAAATAGTGGTCTATATAATGGCCAGAGTGAGAGAGCATTTCTTCATCATTGACTTTTGGAGTGGAATTTGCATTCTGGGCTTAGCAATAGCTGGATTTATTCTGTTACTTGGGAAGAATTTGCACGTGAAATCCTGGTGGGCCATCAATGTGTAAGTTTTGATTTCCGAACATCAGATTGGAATTTTACATAATTTTTTGACTTTTCTGCAGAGAATCAAGTCAGACTGATCTAAGTGTCATTAATGCTCGCGTTTACAAATTTGATGAGAAAGGCGACCTAAAATCTTCAGGTGCGTACAAAGACATTTACCTGGACTTTATCTTATTTAATTTAAATAAAATTCCTTTCTTTTACAGACTCTCCCTATAAGCCGACAGTGACATCACTTTAAATGGAACTGAGATGATTGCTCATCTATGAACTCTGGTATTCGCGTAGCTTATGACTCATTTAGTCTGTCGCACACAGATAAGTGTATATACAATAAGTGCCTCAGTATATTAGCCCTAAGAAAAAGATTCAATAAACTTATGAAGAGCACTTCTCCGATTTGTTCAGAGTTATCAGTGCCAAACAAAATATTGTGATTTCACCTCCACTTTGATCATCAATGGAATATTTCACATCGCAATCTTCCTCAAAATCCGCAAAACTGCCACACAAATTAATTCCGTTAAGCGAATAAATTCTTGATTCTTTAGGTTTCGCAACAACCTTCTTCCCTTACAAATTGTTTCCTTTATGAATAATTTGTCCAGAGGCAAAGCTCTAGGCAGACCTATCAAAGAGGGTTCCCGGTTAACGGCCAAATCGTAAACTATTCCTCGAATGTCCACCCACGAGGGTCGATTGATTCGATGACGTGCCTCGAGTCGGTAGGATTGGATGAATTGTAGTTGGATGGGTCGGCTGGATTAGCCGCAAGCTAAGTGGCACGCAACAAATGCTCCGTTAATGACGCAATTGACAATGGTCAAAACGCCTTTATCCCATCTACCTATCTGTACTAGTATATGTGAATCCATGTCTATGTCTACAGAGTATCCGGTCCAATACTTTTTGCGCGAATATTTCACTTTTTTAAAGGAGTTAAAGATATACGAATAGCAAAGACACTAATTTTTGTGGAAAGATATAAAGTTTAGTGGTTGATAAGGGAATTGTGTTTCAAGGTCAGAATTAAGCGGACAAAATATATAAATTTGTTAATCAAAAATATATATACATTTTAAAGAGGATTTAATTTTCTAAATATTGATAACAGAGTTAGACCAAATGAGTTCTTCTTAGAAAATTATTATTGTAATTAATTTGTTAACGTATTTTTTAACTTAAGAACTAAAGTCAAATATATAATAAATAAAAATACCAATTACAAGAAGTTTAATCTTTTCCTTCTTTATTTCCATAAAATATAATCAGAAATATCTGAACACATCATTCGATTATCTAGTCTTTAAACTATAGAGCATTTCCTGACCATTTTGATGATTTCCGGACTCTGTCTGTTTTCCCCTTTTTTTTTGTTGTTGTTGTAAACAAAATGCCACACGTTCCTCGAACACCTCCAAGCAAAGTGGGTGTGCGCTTTGCCATGCCACAAAAAAAACACCACAGACACCACAGCAGACTGCCTTCGATTGAGTTCGCTGGGATTCGGCCAACAGTCGAAGTTCGTACCGTGTCAGGAGCAGATGATGATCCGGCGCTCACTCAATTAACGGCTCGCACCTCCGACTTTGAGCGGCGCCATCAGTGCATTACTATTCGGTGTCTATCTAGTCCATTTCATTTCATTTCATTTCATTTCATTTCGATTCGGTTCGATATCGGTTTGGCAATCGTCTGGAGGTAAACAGGCATAAATTGGACGCTCTAACGTAAACAAAAAAGTGTTCGGAGCAAATAGATTGCAACCAAACAGAGAGATCAGCAGTCAAAAATGTCTCTTCGAATGGCGCAGTTTGGCCTCCTCTTCATCCTTGCGGCAGCACACTCTTCGTCGGGATACCACGAAGAGACGCACTATCCTTGCGCCTTTATCGACACGGCAAATATCACGGGAAGCTACGGTTCGGATGGTTCCTACGTGCACAACTGGACTGTGATTCCCCACCATTTCGTGGCCGTCTATGACTTTGTCATCGAGAACGGCATCCGCATTCCGGCAACACCACATCTGAGGGCCTGTGTCTGCAAAAAGACTCCTTGCGTGCGGATTTGCTGTCAGGAGGGCGAGATCTACGACCTAGAGAGGAGGCAATGTTCAGTCCCAACCGCCGAGCTGTCCACTCTTCCCTCGCAGAGCCACATGGAGGTGGAGTTGAACAATGGCAGTCTGAGGGATGTGGCACTGCAGCCACGTTTTAGTATCCATGTGGACACTCCGTGTGGGCACATGAAGGCGGTCACCAAGGGATTCGAATACGTTCATTGGACACTACACGAGGTGCGTAATGAGATAGATCTTTTCAAACACCTAATTTTCAATCGACTCTTCACTTTAGAACGGAACAATTAGCCATCGGGGTCACATATTCTCCAAGCACTATTGCTTCACTCCCCTGCTCCATGGGAACTTCACTTGGGAGTGGCAACCATTGGCCTGCGCCCCAGAGAAGCTACACTTTGTTTTGGGCGTGCGGGAATGGACCTACGCCATATGTGAGTAACAAAAACAAACACAATCACAAATATGCTTTCAATTTCATTCGGGGCAAATTTGTATGTTTTAAAAATAGTACGCTCATAAAAGTAATTACTGAAACAACAGAAGGAAATTGCGGGTGCCGAGTGATAGTTTGATCGCAAGAAATGATTTTTCGCTCCAAATTTATCCAGCTGATTCTCTTTCCAGGCCTCTTGATTGCGATAATATCCATGTTTATTGTGCTAATGGTGTACCTGTTGTGCTCGGAGATGCGCAACAGTTTTTATGGTGTGGCCATCAAGACATACGCCATCTGTATGATCTTGGGATATGCCCTGTTGGGTTATCTCACGCTGCACAACCCAGCGAATCTCTCTATTGCGGCTTGTCGCATTCTACGTAAGTGGTACCCGCCAAAGAATGTCCTGTGATTACCAAATTTTTTTTCGCCCGTTTTAGCTAGCTTGGCGCTAATGTATCTGGTTCTTTCATTTTACATCCTAAGCTTCATTTCGTTCAAGCTCTACCTGAGCTTCCACGGCGTGGTCTTCACCAAACTGATGTTTTGGCTGATCTTCACTCCGATCGTACTGATCGCAGTGGGATGGTCTTTTTTTGTGGGCTTTAGTTACTATGGTTACCGGCTGATTTTTGGAGGCGATACCTGCTGGTTTGATCGTGAGTACTGTTAGTGGGTTCAACATTTGGCAATGATCCTTAATTTCCTTGGTTTTCAGCTCGTAATTGGTCAATTATGATTTATTTGTACGCCCCCGTTTTTGTTGCCTGTGCCATTTGCGGATTCTTCTATATTCTCAGTCTGATCTATATCAGTGAACAGCCCGAGATCGAGACTGAGAAGAGCTTCGAATCCATCGAGAAAAACCGCTTCAGGTCCTTTTGGAAGTACGTCGGCTACACGGCACTTGTGTGGCTCGTTTGCGTATGCGTTTTTGCATTTAACTACTACCGGGAGGAGCGATCACACCTCAACTATGCTGTGAGCTTCTGCATGGCTTTCCATGGTTTTGCGGCGCTTTATGCCCTTATTGGAAAAAATCAGCAGATCCAGAACTTTCTGCGGCGCATAGATAAGTGAGTACACAGAAATCATCTTATGTTACATTTTAATATCTATATACATTTTATAAAGTGAGGAGGACACCTGCGAGAACTCCGTACCGCTGTCGAGTTTTGGTTGAAATACAATTTGGTAGTACAGTTTTCTGGTCACTGTGCAGCTTTAGAGCAACTGGAAGCGATTAGTCGGGCCAACAACCCTGAACAATCTTTCTTAAACCAGCTGTCAGTCTAGACAAAAACCATATAGAGAATATTTTAAAATATGTTTAAGATGTGTAAAATATGTGAAAGACTAACATGTTTAGTCGTTTTACTTTAAATATAATTAAATGTGAATATTTATGGGCTTTGTTTGTACACAATGGACAATAGGTATCAATAAATGAATTTTTTTAACGTCTAGTCTATGTAAAAAGGTTCTAAAAAAACGACGCAAAATGCTTCCCTTTTACTAAGCACACGAAGCATGTAATAATCATGTAAACAATTATTAACTGCTGTAATTCGCTGAAAAGGTGTTTTTTAACGATAATTTTTGTGGTAGTGCCCTTAAATGCCCTTAAATAAAAAAGGTAATATTATTTATTTATTTTCTATTTATTAATAATTCCAAAAAAATAACGAATTCGACAGTCTTGAAGTTGGTTAATAAAAATGGGTAAATGTTATACTAAAAATCTTCTAAATATTTATATTTGAAACCTTTTTTTGACGTATGCTTTGGCTTACGGCCTTTCTTGGCCTTTCCCTTCGACCGTTAAACAATTGCAACAATTTCCAATTGCTGGCGTATCCAATTTAAGCTTCCCCACCAGAATCACACAACAAAAGCAACCCGAACTCTGGCCAACAATATACACGTAAATAACGTAATTTACACAACACAAAACAAACTCTGAAGTTGGCCGTAAGGCAACTCTAGTCGAGGTCCTGCAGCACCACAGAATCCAATCCACGGCAATCCACTCATCCTGCCAGCCATCCTGCCATCCTGCCATCCTGCCATCCTTTTTATCCCCTTTCCCAAGTTGCAATTCCCTGGACCGTGGTCGAGTGTCCCCAGTACCCAGTACCCAGAAGCCAGACCCCACAATCCTTGTTCCTGTTCCTGCCCCGATCTCTCTATATAATAAGTGCGCACCGATTTTGTTTGACATCAGAGGTCAATGGCCGCGATACAGACTGAGAGAGTTGAGCAGCGAGAGAGCTGCATCCTTGCATCCTGGCAGGGGGCTGTCAAGCGCAAGGAATCAAGTGGAAAGTGAAACGAGGGGCGGGAGTTTCCCACTTTTCGCTGGTGCTCTTTTGATGTGGCCTCGCCCAACTCCGCCATCTACACCCCACCCATCCCACAAACAGGTCCACACCCACACATCATCTCTAAACCAAACCCGACGCAAGTGTTCTCGGTGTACTCAACTTCGGCTCTTGATGGTCCTGCTCTTTTTTTGGCTGGGCGTACAGCAGCAGGATACAGAATACACACCGAGAGCAGATGGATCGATAAAACGTAGTAAAAATTCTCGTAGTAATGGAAGCTGGAAATAAACCCGGCATACACAATCGGCAAATGCATCGGCATCGGCATCGGCGGCTCCAGCATCCTGACGTGCGCACTGGAAAACCCCGAGAGGTAGGACATGTTTGGCGCGTTTTTCGCCTGCATGTGTGCGAGTGTTTTGTTTTGTTAATATACGTATGCAAAAGTGCAAAAGGATTTTACAGAAAGAAGAGAGGCGAATAGAAGGGAGGCGAGGGGAAAAAGTAAAACCAAACTCGACCGCGCCCTGTTTCGGGACTCCCCCATCCGTATAGACTGTGCACCCGCCCACCCTTCACCCTCTTCTGACCCATCATATCTATCTCCTGGCAACGGAACCAACATGAAAATTAATTACTAAATGACTTTATGCTTTTTAATGGCCCGATGGCAGTTAAAGGATATTAGACAAGCCATTAAATGGCTAACTGGTTGCGGCTGCATGGCCACGCCCTAAAAAACCTCCATGTGTGGAGGGCAAAACTCCATTTGACTGAGATAGCAATATTGATATTGGAAATCACTAATTAACATGCGGAGACATTCAAGGCACTTTTAAGGTGATTTGAATCCCACTAGGAGCAATAAATGGCCAATGCCTTTGGCTTTAATTACACTTGCAAAGAGCTTAGATTAGGATTTAGTTCAAGTTTGAGGGCATAATTCAAAGTTAAAGATAAACAAATTCACCACTAAAATATTCAGCATTGTAACCCTTCTTATTTCACATTGAAAACTCCCTCTCCACTGCGTTTCCGGTCACATTATTGTCCCCTAATGACTTGTTTCCCCATCTCCTCAAGACTTTTCTGGCACATTTTACAAACAAAGCACGTAGAGCAAATCAAATACAATAAATAACTTTTAATTTAGCATTTTGGAGAAATTTACAACTCGTAGAGTAATTTATGCCCATAAATGTCCCCAACAAGCAATTGACCAACATTTCCCCTACCCTCTCTTAATAAAAGCTCAAACAGTCAGGCATTATAATTTATGAATTAAAAGAGGAGCCAAGAAAAATGCCTAAAAATAGTTGGGGAGAAGTGGTAAATATGATAAATTAAAGGCAAACAAGTCGAAAGTAGGAAAACTGGAGAGGAGGGTGGGAGAACCACTATAAATTCATTGATGAAAACCCATGAACAGTTAGTTTGTGGTAGAGGTGTTGCCTATTATTATGTTTATGCTATTATTTTTATGAATTCAAGAATACACGAAATCAAACCAGCCCCTGGGTACAGACGACTTCCTGAAATAATGTTACAAGAGATTCCACACGTGCAAAATTAGGTTCTATTATTTTTAGTTTTAGATTATTTTTAATACTTTAACTATCGCCAAAGCGAACAGGAAACCTAATAAACACTAATGCTGAGAGGAGACCAAAAACAATCAATGGTAATTTAAGGGCGAGAATAATTTAGTTTAATTTAACCTCAATAGTTTACTTTTGCGTTTGAAATGCCACCTAATTTATATAGAGAGTTAACTTGGTTGCACTTAACCATTTCACCCGTTTAGGCTAAATTAATAAAAGCACACACGTTTTTCCCCACTTCATGAAATGGGCATCGCATAAACACAGTATATGTCTTCGATTTCTAGTAAGTTATAATCACACGCCGTCTTCTCTAGACCCCCTTCCTATATAGCCCATGAGTTATTCGAGAAGGGGCCTTTGGGCTCGGACTTCCAAAGTGGCATTTGTGTGTGCTCTCGTTTCTCACCTGCAATGACACCTTTTTATTTGGCCCGTAGTAATCATGAAATTTTTATTATTTGTTTCTCCTTCATTTTTTATATGTTTCGTTTTCTTTTCTCCTCTGTATTTTTGACTTGTGTTTGCTCATTGTTGTTTGTTGTGCTTGTCACTTGTTGTTGTTTGTTTACCAGGTTGATGTTGTTGCTGAGCGGGTCTTGAGATTTATTTCGTGCGCCGCTCGAAATGTTTCGTTTGTTCAATTTACACAACAGCCAGAGCTTGAAGCGATCGGCCCCCTCCTCTCCACCATTCTCCGTCATTCAGGAATTCAGTTGAGGTTTTGGTATGCCCTATAATTATGGCATCGCGATAAAGTGAGGCGCTATCAGAGTTCATTGATCAATGTGCGTTGTAGTTAGTAAGATGAGTAAAAAGCTGTTTCAGTTACGATAACAGTGTACTGCTGAAATTTGGAACTTTTAGTAAAAGAGTATTTATATCGATTAATTACTTGATTACTTATTTATTTTCTTCCAAGTCATGAAGCTTACCTCAGTCAATATTCCCATTGCACACGTGCTTGACCGCTCCGGCGATCGCTCACCTCTTGGCCAAGTCAAGAGCCCCACAGCCATAGCAAAATCCGCAATAGTAGAGCATCCGCTTCAGGGGTTCCCAAACTCGGACCGTCTTTTATGGCTGCGGCACGTGTAAATGCTTAACACAATTTTCAAGTTTTCTTTTTCGGAAGCTTTCGTTTGGCTTTCTATGGACAATGCGCCATAAGCGTTTTAAGTGTTGAGAGAATTACGAGAGCAATTAAAGTTACACAGCGAATGAAGAAACCCCTGCAAAAAGCGCTTGACACATTCAGCAAGCTCCCGTCATCGATCTTTGACCTTGGCCCTCCTCTACAATTCTTCCCGCTCGAAAGAGTGGGAGCAATGGAGATATATGCATGCCTATAGTCAGGGATCATCGGTTATCGCTCGTCGAACGCTCAATTAACGGACAAACTGCAGCGCTGATGCGGCAAAATAAGTCGCAGCATTCCGACTTGCAACCGGCAACTCGGTCACCACCTCCCAACCCGAGAAGAACCAACCCAAAGCGACAACACTGAAGTCTGGCATTCCCATGCAACAATGTTGCAGAAGAGCATTTCGCGCCGACATCGGGCAGTGCAGTAAATAAACAACTAAAACAACAGCGACATCGCCGCGGCATGAGTGTGCGTTTTTTTGCATGCCCTGGGCTTAAAGGGTATCTTAGGCAGTACTGTTCTTGAGTGAACAAAATCGAAAATGTCTTTACATTGTGAATTCATTTCTTCAGAGAACTAGCCAAATATTATCAATATTTGTATCCCTTAATCAATCCTTTAATTGTATCCTAATTCAATCCTTATTCATTTTCGTTTGTTCTTACAATGTGGCTATAATTTTGAAGGACTTCTTAGCAATTTATGTGATTTAAATTTTTCTAAGGTATTATTTTGATCGAGCTTATTTTCCCTTCGTCTTTCTGGACTCCTTTAAATGCTTTAACCCATTGACGACGGCAGATCGTTCAAGGAACTCCAGCGGCTGACGAACTTGTTCCGTTTGTATTTGCGGGTCAACAACTAAAGAACGCAGGAGGTTTGAAGGGAGGAAGTGAGATGGGGGACAAGGGCGGGGCTGAGTCAAGCATCTTTGTGGCCACAACATTGCGAGCTGGGAACTTGGAACTGCGAGGGGGAAACTGGGTGCCGGCGGATCCATTAAGCTAAATGATGGGCAGCCGCCCAAATGTTGCCCTGCGGCAACAATGTTGCAACTCCGGCAACGACAACGATGGCGGCACATTAATGAAGTGATTTGCACTTTTTACCAGCTCCGTTTTGACCACCAACAAAGGAGGGGAAACGGATGAGCTGTTCGAGATGAGTTCCACGGTTCCAGGAACAATCCAGTCCCATCGGGGCGGTAGATTTATGACAGCCGCAGTGGATCATCGTGTCACTTGTCAGAGCCGAAAAAATCCACAACAAACAATTCCCTGGAGAAAGAGAAGCTTCGAGACTCCAGCGATTTGCACGGAGTGTGGCTAATTGAGCCCATCGAGGAACCGATCCTGACATGGCAAATTGGAGCGATCTCCTCGGAGTGA